ATCTCATCTTAACACCCTTTTAATTTCCCTTGCAGGATTAATATACAAACAGTTAACCTAGCTAGGACATATTATCACTGTTATTATGAAGTGATTTATTTATTTGATGTGCAAACTGCCAATAGCCTGCAGACTATATTATCACTGTCAAGGGTAAATTGGCAGACACTCTTGCGCCAGGTATTGATTAAACCATTCATCTGTATCATCACCTCCAGACACACAATAGGGAAACATTTAGACACCCTAATGAAGTCCTTGAGGTTTCGTTTTTTTACGTTTACCATCAACGTGTCCCCTTACTACCCCCGCGTTAACTGTTCCAGGGAGAGTAAACAAAGCTGACGTTCCTAATGGCTTCTCCACCCTTTAAAAACACCGAACATGAGCTCAGAGACCAGCAGGAAACTTTTGAAGCATGCGCACAGGTCTCATTGTTTTATCCATCAGCAACTATTCATCCCATTGTGGGTGACTTCACAGGGAGAACAGCCCCGTTGCCAAAAAATGAACACTCTTGCAACCTTGACATTCACGATGTTGTGAAAGGGTTTGTAAACAGTGAGGACATAGCACTGAGTGATGCCAGGAGGAAAACAAACGTGGTCTGTCTTCAGTCTTCTTTTCTCTGTTCCATTTGCTTTCTAAAAATGTGTTGCTCTCTCAACCTAATCCATCTTTTAGCCCTAAGTAGGCCATATGGACGCCTATATTTATTTATAGCACACCTCTAAAATAAGCTCTTCTCTCTTTTATATATTTTTTTAATATAGTATATATTACTATTAGCATTTCTTTTGATTACACATTATATAGCATGACACATGACACTTAGTGTGGCTCTTAGTGAAATATGAGACATCTTTTATGTAAAAGAACGTCATCGTTCAGTTTGCTATTGTTCTCTTTTCTTTTTAAGTTAGCGCCACTTCTTTGTGTCAGAGGTTTTTGTAACTGGCATCTGAATTGCATGTGTGAGAATCCATGACAAGCATTTAGCTCTAATTGCAAGCCTTCAGCTGGAGCATATTGTTTCAGTGTCTTAGTCTTTTCCATGTAGGACAAGTATTATATTACAAACATGTTAAATGAGTAATCGGAGATCCATCCAGATTTTGATAGACAAATCGTGACTTCAGCTGCTTGCAGCCTTGTTTTCTGGTGGTATAATTTAACTGCAGGCACTAAAAGTAGACGTATCTACTACCACTAGTGGTGCTTCGTGCAAATGTAGTATTTTGTAGAGAATTTGATTAATGTGGTACATATTGACCTCATTAGGCCCCAAGTGAGTCAGGTTGAGCGATGCAAAGATCCATTCCCTCCTGCCACTTGGCGCTACCAGCTTACTCTTCCCCTCATTTATCTTTAATGTGTTTGCTGTGCTGGATTAATTTCTCCAGTTCAACACACATCAATCACAGGGTGATATCACTCCCCGCTTGGTGATTACAGTAAACACTTTTTTTCCATTATGCACTAATGTCCACTATATTGAAAATGACTTGTCTTTACACAGCTTTTTCAGTTATTTTTGATTTGGCCTTATATTTTGCAGTCTAACTTCTGAAAATTGAAAAGAAAATGAAAAAAATATTGCTTTTTTGATCTGTTCATCTGACAACTGTTTGCACTGACTATACAGAGAGTGCATAACACTTTTATCACACAATGGTGCATAATAGAACTTTGCTCTTAATGAAGGTAAGGAAGCAGTATTTCATTCACCATTCATTTATCATGTTTCACTCTTAATATTTACACATATATGTTTTTTTCTCTATACAAAGAATACAATTTGAGGGTAATTGACTCAGCCAGCCTGCCAGCCTGTGTTTTTGTGCAGTGGATGAGCAAGTTCGCCAGGAGTATGCATTGATGTTCATGGCTGCCCACGGCTGCGTTGTCCCTGATTCACCTCTCACCCTCTCTGCTTTGAATGATATTTCAAAGCTTCTGTCAAAGTGTGACTGGGCAGTGGCAATACACATCATCACTACACTGTGGATTACTCTGACATTATATTTTAAACAATATTGCAGTAGCAGTAGCAATTCCTATTTAGACTACTTTGTTCAAATACATGAATACTGTTTCAACTATTTCTTTAATTTGGCAGGTGAGAATGGAGGATGGAAGTCAGGTGGCAGACAATCATACTAAAATGCCAAGAGTAGCAGCTGTTCAAATTTCTCTTGACCACATTATTTTTCATCCTACCACTGGGGTGCACCAGAGTCAGAAATGTGTGCACAATGGTAATGGGCTTCATCAGACTTGGTAAAAGAGCACGTGAGATATTTTACACACGAGGGTCAGTTTACTCATCAAGAGGAGGGAGTAGTTTCCAGTCTGTTAAGTCAGGCAGTTGCATAATGTCTCCCTTTTCTCTAGAAGGCGCTGTCTAAAATAGAAAAAAACTCTATGATGTCATCAGAGGATTAAAATCAGGATCTATCTGCATCTGGTGCTTCAGTTCTGATCATTTTTTTAAGCCGTTTTCACACGTGAGTTCCACACAGTATCAGTATAATCAGGCTGGACAATGTCGAGAAATCCTCATAACGGGAAATAGTTCAGTTCAGTCCATACATGCTCACTTCTGAGTATGTTTGGTTTAGCCGAGACTGCTGGCTGTGCAGAGCACGCAGGAGGTGGGACACATGACGCCCACTTCCTCACTGTGAAGTCACCAAAAATTTACCTGCCTTATTCTGACATACTCACAACGGGACATCATAAAGACTTTTTAGTGCAAAATTAAATTGTACTAGACACTGTGGTTATTCAGCTGCAGTACGTGTGTAAAATAGTGTCTGTATCTATCTCTTTCAAACAGCCTGTGACTATTCCTATAAAACTAAATTTTTAAAAAAGTTTGTATTTATCACAATAAACATACGTATATTAGTTTAAAATACATTAATCTATTTTAAATTTACAACAGAGGAAATATTCAAGGCAAATTAAAGTTACTAGTTAGGGAAAAAGAGGAACATTCTGAGAATCAAAGTGAAGAGTAAAGGTGGGATAAAGCATGAGAAGGTGACACAGCGTTTGATCTAACACCACCATTTTCTCTTTCACACTCATCTCCACTAAGTCCCCACTTCTGTGAACTCTGTGAACATTCAGCATCAGTTACACCAACAGAGAAACTGATCACACACGGCTCCTTTGAACTTCGCAACCTGACCCACTGCTGCCCACTCCTTCCAAAAACCTTAACTCCACTGTAAGTCACCAGACCATTATTCATTCAGTGCTTCCTCTCTGGGGGTTGGCTTACTTTCCTTTCTATCCTGCTCACTTCCTGACTTTGTGGGTCACGAACAGACAGTAAAGAAAGACACGGAGATAGATATCTAAATGTAAAAAATACACAAATGCTTCTTTTCCAAAACAAATTTCACCTACGTCATTTGCTTAAATAATTTATTACCATGTAATCCTTTGTCATAATTGTTAAAATTGAAGCTACTCTTATAGCCTACAGTGATCGTACACCTAACGTGTAGTGAAGCAGCTGTAACTATTGCTGAAAAAGATCAGTAATCCTTCCATGTTTGATGCCATTAATATACTCAGTGATGATGGGGGTGGGAGTGAAAGTCTAAAATGGGTTTACAGGGCCACAGCGCTTCAGACATTCTTTTTCTTTTTTCTTTTTAGATGCCAGGTCCAGTTAGCTGATGCATGGAAAGAGAGGCGAGGCAGTCGCACACTGAGGGCCAAGCTTCCCAGCATCCCTCCCTCTCCCTGTTCCCGCCTCGGCGTCCAAGAGCTCGGGCCTCCGGCTGTGTAGCCATGACAACCAAATGAGGTAAATGGTTGCAGGAGAATCCTCATCACGACCACCTTCACAGCACTTCTTTTCAGTGTAGCATGAATGTAGTATGTACAAGTCTTTCCCGCATTCTGCTCTGTATCCAGTGTAGTAATTCCCATTTGGAGTCACAATAAATGAATCTCAGCTCTTTCTTTTCTGCAGTATAGCATCCGCCTGCTTTCTGTCAAGCTAACATTACACGCCCCAAGGGTTGTTTTTATCCCATTATTCTCTTCAGACGGCTTTAAAAAAACATTACCTTGTTAGACTGTATAAAAGATTCTCACAAGAGAACATGACAAAGGCACATGCTGGGGAAAATATGGAAAAATGAATCATGAGTATGAGGGATCAAGAAAATGCAAACCTCTGTCATCCAAAGAGGTTACTCCTTTGAGCCGTGCATATAGAGGGAAAAAAGGAAAAAGGCTGCAAAAAAAGCAGTAAAAGTATGGAATTGCATTGCATGCTGAGTAATCCTCCTGACTTTTTTTTATCCTTTCATCATATTGCACAATTGTCCAAATGCAGAAAGCTCACACTGACAGATACTGTACGTGAACAAGCTGCATACTTGTTATGCAAGCATATGGTATTTCATTTTTCTCCCAAGTCTCTAATTTCTCTAACACCCTTTCCAAAAATAGTGCAGCCATTTGCATACCTGCAGTGTGATAACACTGCTGTGTGAAATAACACACTGTGCAGTGTTTACAGATGAGCCTTCCTCATTTGCTGCTGTGACAAGAGAAAAGCTGTCAGGTCCAGGGAAACGAAAGGAAGACAGTCACAATTATTATGGGGTCATTTAAAGACTTTGCAGGCTTCGTGACGAATCACATTTCCACTAAAGATGGCATGTGATTGACACAGAAAAATCCGAATGAATTTGAATGAGGTCCTCTTCCGTAAATAATGTTTTACACTAACACACCCTTCCCCTTGCTTTCTTTACGAGTGCAGGCAAACAATGTTTTAAAATGTTTATTATTTGTCCAGTACAATTTGGTTTGTATCAGAGGTATATGGAAAATTAAACATATTTCATTAGTAGCAAATGAATATCCTTTTTTAAATCTGTATTTATACAACACAGTGTCTTTACAAATACAGACCAGAAGACAGAAAAGAAAGGATTTTATTAGCAGTATTACTGTTTTTTTTTAACGAAACATGAAAATACAGCTACACACATGATCTCTTTAACAGTATCTGTTTGACATTTGGAAATGCATTCAGCAGCAGTAGCATTGTCACCACTCTCTTCTGTCACCCAGTTTAGATTTAAGCCTTACTGACATTTATCTGACAAAACATAACATGGCTTTTTTTGGTATTCTAAGCAATATCGAGACACACTGTACGAGAGCAGCCACTACTACCTCTGCTTTCCAGGGTGCACAACGCCAGAATGTTATTTTGGGGACAGATTTTGAATAGAAATTGAATAGAAAAATAGAAATGAATCTGAAGTTTATACTGCAGATAACTCAACAGTGCATGCTGTAATGTGCTGATATTGTTACTTAATTAAACAAGTAAGGGAGAGGAAACTGCCATGCTAACATATGCTTTAAACTAACAATTAAGCTAAATAAATAAATTGTTAATGTACAGTAACTACATAGTAGTTGGAAATGATATGTATCAAAAGCCTCCCTCTGATTCCTTGACTTAGGTATGTGTCTGTTGTTATTAGCTGGGAATGTAGTTTGCCTTTTAACGGAAAAATGATTCGGCTAATTTAATCCCATTTAGCTAATCCGATGGTGTCATTTTTTTCTTGAATATGTCAATATGCTCATCTACAATTACAGACTCAGTTCCTTTAAAAGTCCTTCCAATAGACTCTTTTAATGTGAACTTGCAACTAATGACATCTTTCCAGTGGCTGTGAGCAATTTCAAATGTTGTTATTTAATAGAAACTGCCACAAAAAGTTGAAACTGGAGACTTTGGAAATGAAATTCAGGTGCAAAAAAGAATTGATTAATTCAAGCCTGTCAAGCTTTCCATTGTTGCAATGCTGCTGTTTAAAGTTATGACAGCAAAAGACAAAAAATCACACGTGATCTTAATTCTGAAGGACTGGGTCGTTCACTGCACGGAAATATAAAAGTATGCTTCTCATAGCTAGCTTACAAATGTGGCTTCAGCTTCTGATTACTTGACATGTGTGGAAGATATGTTCAGATTAGCAGCACTTTGTGTACAAAGCTACTCAGAACCAATTAAAAAGACCTTTGTTACAATAAAAAAAACACAATACGTGTTATTTGTTCTTACATAAACCTTTAAATGTTTGCTTACTATAGAAACAACCTTTGACCATGCAGTTTGATTAGTGCTATGAATTGTTGTTCCGACTTTCAAACACCCTGCTTTACTTTTCCATGAAAAAGAGAAAAAGAAGAACAGAAATTTGGCAAATGTAGCAGTAGCCAACATAAGTTTGGCTGGAGTTGATAAGCATCAAATTCCCCGTTTGTAGGAAGGAGGTGCTACCATTAGAACTCTAAATTCTCATATAGTGCAATCTTGGCTAAGTGCAATGCTGAAAAGATATGAATCTGTAAACCCACAAAAATATGTTTATTTTGTTATATTCTGCAGATATGCACTGTTGCTCATCCTGTAGAGCATGCACACCACTTCAGTATAGAAAACCAAAGCTTGACAGGCCTGCTGACATACCTAGTTACCGTTATGACCGGACAATTTATGAAAGGAGTTTATTCAGAGGTCATTTTATATAAATTTATAATAATCATATCTTTAAAGTGTACCAGATGGTGTCAAATCTAGCAAATAAACAACATCCATACAGTAAAAATCACATTGTTTATAAGGATGTGGCATTTTCAGCACAACATGTGACATTACAGGCTGGTACCAACAAACAGTATGAGATAACACAAATTTCATGAGTGTGTACCAGGATCATAGGAGTTTCCTTTGTGCTTTTATTGATGCCTACACAAATGGAAAAATAACAAAAAACAAAGAAGGCCACATTAATTTTTTGTCAGTTTCTGCAAAAATGTGCTTAAAAACGATGCACATTCAGGGCTATGACTTCTTCAAAGGGGACAGAGGCATTTAGAATTCCTTTTTAACTTTTTTTAACCACACAGAAACAATGACTATTTTCTCATGGCTCTTTTTCTATCTGCTGTTTGTTTGCATTTAGAGGCTTGACATTCTTTCTGCTACATATCTCAATTTTACTGAATTATTCATGCCTTACAAGAATGTAAGAAGCAGTACAATATACCTTCAGTTTGGGTGGCAAAAAAAGAGTCTAGCTTTCTGCTTTCCATATCTTAATAATGGAGGATTTAAATATACAAAATGCAAATATTGTAGCAAAAAGACATCCATGAAATTCAGGGCATAAGTTTATTAAATTTGGAATGTGCTGTACTGTTGCTGCTTTGAATACAGATCCTGTTCATGAAGCCGGGCCACGTTCACACTGCAAGCTTTAGTGCTCAATTCAGATTTAATGTTCATATCTGACGTTGTGTTGTTGTTGTTGTGTTCGTTGCTTGCGTGCCCGCTCACAAAACTGCTTAAATAGCCAGTTTAAATAGTAAATACATTTCTAATTCCACAGCGAACTGCTCGCCATCCTAAACTGACCAACATTTGAAAAAGAACAAAAACAAAAATGTTGCATGCAGCATGCTGTAAAGAATTAAACACATGGGCCACTGAGGCCATAGTGTTTCTTTTATAAGCTGATGTACAGTGGAAGCCAAATAGTTCATAAGGATGACAACAAGGATGAGGAAAAAGAGAGCCAGCTTCTTAACACTATCCCCGCCAATGATGAAATATTCCAGCAATGTTTTCATATCATAAAAAATTCTAATTCTTACTTTTCCTTTTGGATTTCACTTTCTTTTAGCCTCATCTGCTCCCTGAAAAAGCACATAGAGTTGGGTTTTATCACCAGCCAACAAGGCTGGGTTGTTAAGAGTGATATAAAAGCTGCGTGTTTACCGACATGACTGTTTCGATTGAGTTTGCATTGCAAAAACTCTTCTGGCTGGTCATGATTTTAAATTTTTTTTGAAGAGTCATTAAATTGTTAGAACAAATATGTCTTGTCTTCACATATACATTCTTTCTACTTTTTCTACCAGCTCGCTGTACTATCTAATGCTACAGCCAGAAAGTTTTGGCAGTTCACCTAGAAGCTGTTTGCCAACAACAACAAAAATTGAAGAACGCCTTACTAACTACCAGGCACTGGACTGTTAAAACGTGCGTGACACAGCGGGGTGCTACTGCAAAAGCTGGAGAAACACGCAAAGCCAAACACCACTACAGCCAGTCAAAGAATAGTCTAACATTTACCAGAGAATTTTGGTCTAAATCAGAAATGAAAAAGTTTGTATTTCAACTGATTGCTGATTTGGACACTGTTGCCTGCAGTCTGAATGTAGCCATAAGAATTTTGATATGAAATATCAAAGCCTCAACTTTAATGCAAGATATCAAACTTTCTAATAAAGGTACAGCAAGATGTAAGATATCTTTAAAATATTACTGGATGTTTAATTATTTATTACTAAAGAAGCCAAACTCTTGCTTGTCACCCTCGTTCCCTTTTTCTTTTGAAGTGACCTTCCTGTTAACGTAAGTGTTGAACACTGTCATATATATAACCAAGTAAGACAGAATGGAAGAAAATGTAAATCTTTGGAGATTATACCTGTTGAAGTAAAATGTGTGTACAGTGTGATTTGGCTTTGATTTGGGAGCTATGTTTACCTCACTAGAAGCAAAAGTCCTTATATGCAATTTCTCCTCCATCTGAACCTTTGGCAGATGAACACAGTACCAGTCTATTTGCTGTAATTGAGGACTAGCCAAAATTAGGTTCACCATTTAAAGTGCATCATTTAACACAATAATTCTACATAGATTCTATTTTTATATTGCATTTACCATAATTTATTCATTTGATTGATTATGCTGTTGATATTTTATGAATTTCTTTCTACACAGTTCACAAGTATCAATCTAAGGAAGTTACAGTATGTCCTCTTGATTTCTATGATTGTTTTACTTTACACCATTTTATTTTGTACATAAATTTGTGATTATGTAATAAATATGTGCTAGAATGTGTAGACCCACTAGAAGCTTTTTCCGCCTGCAGTACATAATTACCCAAATCCTGCTTGTTGAGCTGACATCCCTGCCACAGTCTAATTCTACATGCAGAGAGAACAACAGTATTTGCCTTCTTCAGTGCTTGTGAACAACGTCTTAATGTTAGTGAGAGTGGCTGTCCAACAGAGACTCGAGAAAATGGCAGGATATGCCAGCATATCATGTTATAGGCAGTTAAATATCGAGGTCACTGGTCAATATGACATCCTTTTTTATGGAATCAAGATCAAGCATTCTGGCCTACTCAGATAAAACCCCAGTGAAAATCATTCAAGGGGTCACACTAACTTTGAAGCCATTTTTACAGGATTTCAGATTCCAGGATTGAATGTCCTACATGACTAAATTTTGAAAGATTTTTGGTATGACTAAGACTAATACGAGAGTACTGCAGCAACACTTTTTTTTTTATTATCTATTTCTTTTCTTTTTTATATAAAGGTCTTGGCATATTTGTGTAGACTTATAACACTGAGCCAAGAGCCAGTGGCCATAAATGACCACAAGCGCTAACAGCCAAAAATAAGATCTCTATAATAGCATTTTGCAAGTGGTGCAGCACACACGCTAACCTTTAATAGGACTCATTCCTTTCCAGTGTCTTTTATTACCATATTTCAGAAGTCCATGTGCAAAGAAAACAACTTCAGCCTTAACAGGGCAAGATCGTACCATTGAACAGTCCTGGATATTGGCCAGAAAGGACACGGCATGGGGCACACATTGTCTTCTATGTTCTCTCACTGCTGGAAGGAGAAGTGCCGCGCAGTTCTTTAAAAGTAAGTCCTTCTCACTCCTCACTCTCCTCTTCATCCCCCTTAGTGCCTTTACTCCAACGCTGGAAGCAATGAACAGTTGAAGCCAGGAAGAAACTGGTCATAATGGCCACCACAGACACTGAGATGCCAGAGAAAATGATGATAAGAAGGTCTGTTAGAGTCAGGGTGGCCTGGCACTCACGGAAGCTGTCCTTTGAGAGCTGGGTAAGGGATACACGTCTGCCATCCATAGGGAGGGAGCACTCCAAACCTTTGACCCCTACATAGAGAGAGTAAATGCGATTATACAAATGAACAAGACACATTGAACCTCACATTCATTCATTTCTATACAAATTCATTCTATGGCAGTACTTACATTACAGTTTACATCATATAAAAACAACTAGCACATAGTCCAGGTACTGTAGGCCTTAATACAGTTCACTATATGCACTGCACAAACACAAGAACTCTAATTTAACTCCCCACTGGTTTAAAATTAAAGGTGATGTGCATTTGATCTACTGCTCATGCAGCCCACACCTGCTCAGAACTAAAGACTATCAAAGAAAAGTGGAGAGCATAGTTTGAGCTGTCCTATTTGTATGAAGCCCTTTAATTCTGATAGTGGAATATCTCAGTTCAACAGGGTAACGCAGTTTCTTCCTAAGTGTGGGAGCTGATTTAATAACTGTAAGGTCGATCAGAAGTCTTCACTTATGAGTTGAAGTTGCACCGTGTATACAGTACACCCACCCACACCATGACTGTAGGTTCACTCTTGGAATACAGCTGAAATACTGTGAAGCAAAGTGATACAGTATATGCATTAGTGAGACATGGTTGATTTTATCTAGAGTGCTGTAGTGCTGTGAAAGCAGCCCATTTTCATGATCAATGCATTAGTTTCAAATGGTTTGGTGAATGAAAATAATTTTTAAAATAATTTAATTTGCTAGCTGCACAAGGTAGATCTCTTAGAATGCACACGCTGTTGAATAATGACCTCTGTTGCACTTCAAAAATCCACTGATGTACAGCATTAGCAAAGGGTACTGTCTCAGACAGGGGCACCTTGACCAAACTCATCTCAAGATGAAGCCGTGATAAATCAGTGAGTGCTGCTCTCTGTGCCTTTGTCACTTTAACGTGGTTTATTGTTCAGACATTGTTTAAATGGGAAAGGACAGTGACTGTGGCTTATTGGATTTCAAGGATACAAGCCCTTTATCAGAGTCTTCTTTTCCTCTCGTGATTACAAATGACATCAGCACTGGATCATTCGGATCAGTTTTAACACGCATGTGTTGATTACAGGCCACTGATACTATCACTAAAGACGGAAGGTGTTCATGCTGACAGAGTCAGGTATTCAAGTTATTTTAATGAGAACTTGATTAACATTTGACATTAACTTGATACAAGTTCTAATTAGGTGCTAGATATGTTCTTTCTTTTTGTATTTCTTGACCTTCATACTGCAAATGTTATACATCAACAAATTTAATGTAACTAAATACTGGCAATGTACACAGGTGGGAAAAGTAACGTATTACAAATATTTTGTTCTGTTCTGTGCTCTACTTAAGTTTTTATTTTTATTTTTTGACAACTTGTTACTTTTATTCCCCACATTTTAGTACAAATATCTACTCTACTTAAATTTTCATTAAAAAAAAGGCCCAATACTTTTGGCTTAAGCCATTTGAGGGGAGTTATTGTTTCCTGTACCTCCACAAGGTAAATGGAGGGAACAATAATATATAAAATCTATCCTACTGGTGTACTCATCAGCTGTTGCACATAATAAGCATCAGTAAAATAGGTAAAAACATATAATTTAGACATCATTAATAGCGGTACTCAAGAATTACAGTGGGCTGGAATGATCCAGAAAAATCAGGAACGGCATTTTTGGTGCAATTATTATGATTCAGACTCCACTTAAGTCTTATGGTTGCCTCACCCACTGAATCCACTTTTCATATCCCTCTTTAGGTATGGAGGCAAAGTCATTAAGTCTACAATTTGGTAACAGCAAACAGAGACTTTTACTATCTACCTAATCTACTTAATGAAGACTGTATGTACTTTTTCCACCTCTGACAATGTATTGTGTGAAGAACTAGACATATGGATGCAAGTGTTAGTTTATAGGTGGGTAGAGATAAATCTTTAGAATGTGGGTGGCTACTTTCTACTGATACTGTGCATGCAAATGCACACACTTGGCAGTACATCAATTCTGGATCTTTGCTCAACAGTCAGCACAACATGGAGCATAGTGAAGATTTTCAGTACTGCCCGAGAGTGTGTTTGTTCAATTAAATACCTTAATTCTGCACCAAAATGACATTTTTTATGTGGTGTTTAATTTATTACATTTAAATTGTGGTAAAGTATTAGAGGAATGTTAATAATACAACTAAAACATCTGTGATGATCAATTAAATAATTGTTAAATGTATACAACTTTGTTGTAACCCAAAATTACAAGACAGGAAAAAAGTTATGTTTCATACATATTAAATACACTATTTTGATTCAATGTTATTTTAAAATAGCAACTGTCACAGTAATTGGGTTTTTCATAAGGTTCTGTCCACATCTCCATCTCCGAAAAGGGTCTTTGTCACTAAACCTTTTAACAACAAAGTACGAAATCTAAATGTCAATAATCATGCACATATTTTGATCTAGTTTCATTTCCTCTGTTTTCATCCATCTTTTTCCAAGCACCTTCTTCACTTGTGCTAGACCGCAATAGGTCAGACAAAACATTAAAAAACACATTTCTTACAGACATCATGATTAATGTATTCCAGTGTAACTGTATAAACAATTTATGAATGCATTATAGCCTGGAAAACAATGAGGTTTGGAGGTTCTGCTCTTTTTAGACTTACATAAAAATGCCACATCCAAGTCATCATGTTTGGGAGTAATTCTGACAGTACATATTAATGTATTATACCTGTTATAACCATTTTTCAAGAACCACGGCATCTATGTATTTCAATTTCATCACAAAATCCCAGCATCAAGAGGTTTCAATAAGCCAATACCATCAGTCCTTATGTAGCTCAAGAGGAGCATATTGGTTCCTGGCATCATTAAGTCCACGACATGTCGGCCATATGCTCTGGGAATCAGAGATCAAAACAAATTCCTATTTCACTGCCTGTGAGAATACTGCTCCATTCAAGTTGTCTGCGTGACATGCATGTGCTGAAGAGGCAAAGTTGGCCTTATAAAGGTCGCAATGTATTTAGAGATGTTTAATCTCCTTTCGTGACAAGTATGAGCTGAAACGTTTTGTTGGCTTTTAATGCTTTCAAAATCCACTATTCTAAGCATTGCATTGCGTAACCAGCCACATGGCTCACACTTTGAAATTTGCAAAGTGCAGTTTAAATCAGCTGGGCTTCTTTCTTTTTCTGTTTTTTTTTTTAATTGTTATTTTTTTCCAACATTTCTATTTTCTCTGACAGTACTCAAAACTACTGCTTGGACCTACTTTATAGACATTAAGAGTGTGATTTCCTCCTTTAATATACAGGTTTATGAAATTAATTGTTTTTGTATAAAGAAGCATCTTGTTTTCTGTTTTATCTAATATGCACCATCGATGTATATTCCAAAAAATAGACATGGGTAGAATGCAAATTAATTTGCATTAACTAGTTAACAGCAGTCATGCTGAATGAAAAGTCACCTCTAGCATAATTATCACATACAAAGACTGCCTGTCTTGTCCATTTGCTCATAAAACAAACGATTTACATTCATATTCACAATGTGCTTTCTGCATTGCAAATAACCAGTCACCTTAGAGACTTCGCCTTTGCCTTTTGAGATATTTCTGTCTGGTCTTGCCTCTTTCAGATGCTTGATTAATGACATCTGAGACTAAAATTATCCTGGTGAACACATGGCCCCTGCAGGAGTAGCAGCATTATCACATTTATCAAAATGGATTTAGAAAACAGATCAGTAGTAGAAAGAGACGGCAAACTTATCTTCTTCCTGGTAGTACTACTTTTTACTATTTTACTGTGAGCTAACATTAAAAGCAAAAAACATTATCCCAGCTTGTTCTCCCATGGGATAAAATTACAGCCAAAATCTCACCAATGCTACAGCCAACTGACTGCAGTTAAATCCATTATAATCCATTATTTTGAAATTACGTGCAAACAAATCTTCTCTTATAAAACGATAACAGACTCTAGACTTGTATGAATGGAAATAGCCTCTTAATTATGAAAAGTCAAGCCAGTGCAGAAGAACCTTAAACCTGCACTCCTTATAATGGCCACAAACTCCAATGATACACAAATGTAAAACAAATGATTCTTCACCAAAGTGAAGAGTTTATGGTTTCACTCTGAGATTTCAAATCTTATTAAACAGCGCAAAATCATGATTTTGTTAAAAATGATCCAAAGTGTCAAACATTGTAACTAAACAGGGTCAGCTTCAGGGTGTAGCCACCCAGTACTGTATGAGCATATCATCACTACAGCCTTTATGATAAAGAATTTGAATGTATTCCATCACATTCCTCCTATTCTGCAGTAATTCAGAGGCTTAGTAAATATCACTATAAATATAAGTTAGATGAGCCTGATAAAATCTATGAATATCTTTTTGTAATTATTTGAGTTTGATAAGTTGAAATAAATGTCTAAAATGTTAACGTTTGTGTTAAATTAAGGTATTTATTTACATTTATCTCAGACAAAAAATTCACAGCATAACTTCTTTGCATGTACTTAATATTTTTGTTTAAAATTAAATCAAAACATTTGAGAAATAGGTATCTATACTCATCAGTATCTTGTACTAAAATCATTAATTATTCAAATCAATATTATTTATTGTTAGCAACTACAACTAAAAAGTGTAAGTAAAACACAATAACGTAGAGTAATTGAGTACCATGAGTTGGCAGTTCGTCTTGTGATCGGAAGGTTCGCCTACTGGTGGTGGTCAGACGGCCCGGTGGCACCAGTGTCCGCCAGCCTCGCCTCTGTCAGTGCGCCCCAGGGCAGTTGTGGCTACAATCTAGCTTGCCATCACCAATGAGTGGTTGAATGAATGCAGTGTAAAGTCCTTAGGGACTAAGTAAAGTGCTATACAAATACAGCCCATTTACCATATTTAATATGAAGTACAATTTTGATTACGTTCAGTTTACAATATTAAGTTGATGGAACAAAGTTTTGGATTAACTGACCATCTATATTTCAGTTACATTGACCAAGTACGTCAATG